CTCCCAAGCCAAGAGCTCGTACAGAGTGGAGCAGAGGCTCTTCGAACCGCGTGTTTCATCCACAGCCGCTGTGTCCAGTCCATACTTCACCGCCAACGGCGGCTTCGACGTCCATCTCGAGCTTAATTTACTCAACACACCGCTGGAATGATAGACAGTTTCTGTAATCCCAAAGATAGAATCAGATTAATTGCCAATTCATAAAGTTCAAACAATTTGAACTAATTTTGAATATTAGAGGAAATTCTCCTACAAAACCCTAATCTATCAACTTACTTTTCAATTGCCGGAAGCTCCGGTCCAACTGAGCTCGGCCGATCCCCAGCATCTCGGAGACCTGATCTCCGGCAGCAGCAGCCTTGTCGAAATTCTCTTTGATCCCATCCACAATCTCTTTCAAGGACGTGTGCGACGAAGCGGGAGCCGAATGGGGAGGAGGAGGCGACTGGTGGAGGGACGGCGAAGGGGCCGGGGGTACATGATGGACATGAGATGGATGGGAGTTGGGGGAATGAAGTAGGACAACCGGGCTTTGGTCAGAGAGGGGGTGGAGTTCGGCAGCAGCAAAGGAGGAAGAGCCGATCTCCACCATCTCGACCCGATCTCCGGCGGCGGCAGCAGCAGGAACCTTGTCGAAATTCTCATTGATCCCGTCCCCAATCTCTTTCAAGTCCTCTTGCGACGACAGAGCGGGAGCTAAATCAGGAGAAGGAGGCGGCGAGTGGAGGGACAGAGAAGGGGACGGGGGAACAGGATGGACATGAGATGGATGTGAGTTGGGGGAATGAAGTAGGACGGCCAGGGTTTGGTCAGAGACGGAGAGGGGTTCGCCAGCGGCGAAGGAGGAGAGGGCAGAGCCCGTGAGCCGGAGGGAGCAGCAATAATCGGCGTGCGCAGCAGCCCAGAGGTGAAGTGCATGGACCGCTTCCTTCATCAGGCGGCGCCGCTCCTTGCACCGCCTCACCGTGTCCTCGTAGTACAGCTGCGACACCGTACAACCCATTCTAAAATTCAAAGACAAAAATGGAAACCCCTTAACTGCCAATAACGAGAGCGAAAAGAAAA